TAATAGAATGAAAGTTTATTTTTTCGTAAGCTGCGAATGGTTTCATCTAAATTTTTTTCTAAAATCTTGCATTTAATTGATTATACTTCAGAGGCGAGGGGAGCTTGTGTCTAATAACCAATGGCAGGACACCAGCAAGTGACTTAGCACATTTGTCAACGCAACTACGCGAGGTCCTTCGAATTTTTTACCTGGCACAAGGGTGATCACTTCAGTTTTTCTACAACAGAAATATAAATAGCGGTGCTTTAGGTACTTTTTCATTTATTTAGCGATTTAGTGATTTGTAATTTCTCGATACTTGTAAATTTGTTTTAATAGCGACAGTAAGCTTTAAGGCAAATTTTCAGAAAACAACGTAAATTCCTGGCCTTACTGTTTATAACGCATGACTTTCACGCTTATGAATTATTCTGTGGCCTCCGTCCTCTGCTAATAACATACGACCAATTTTTGTACTAAATTACTGTGAAAAATTCAAAACTATACAATAAAATTTTACATGTGTGTAGTATTTATTTATTCTTAAAATTTTGGTTATCCAATGAATTAATTCTAGTAAATCCTTTTACGTACTTAGAAAAACCAAAATATATAGGTCGGGCAAAAGTATTAACCCGATCAAGTAAATATCTCGAAAATCATTGCTCGCAATTTTTCGAAATTTTGCGTAGACTTTTTATAATTTAAAATTCATAAAACGTAATTGTTTCATGTTTCTATTTTGACTATTTTTCAAAATTATGCAACGTCTACGTGATTTTTACTTCTTGGCTTTAGCGTAATTGACAAATCGGTTCATTTTCGTTTTTTAGACAATTAATAATATAATAATGAAAAAGTAGGACTTCCGTTTCCATCTGTCATCTGTTCTCGATTTTATCAGATGACAGACCGACTACTTGTTGTGAAATTATAGATGTATTTTAAGAATATCGAATAGTTGGTTCGCAAAAATTTATCTGATGATTACCATTAGCAATTTATGACGTCATCTCGAAATTTTACAAAGTGAATCTTACTTAAGTTTTATAAAATAAGATACGTCTGTAGCTGTAAATCAAAATTGTATAACAAACATTGTACCTGTTTATTCCCTTCGTAAACTTGATAATTCAAAACTTTGCCGGATAAATCTCCTCTAAAATGTGCAAAATATGTGTCTGCGTTTGTCATTTATCAATTCATAGTTGTACTTACGGAGCGTAAGCCAAGAAAGTACTGTAACAGGGTCAATCGGACGAATGGTTACCTTCGTCGACGTGTCTAGAGTACGAAGAAATAGGTTTCCCGTTTCCGTCTACTTGTCCGTCCGCCTGGGATTAATAATTTAAAAATAATTTGCTGGAATACGATTCAGAATGTCATTTTTTTACTATTGATAGATGACATTTTTGACAATTTTTATCGGAATTTTAGATTTTCATTTAAATTAACATTAAAACATACAGAATTACGACGTTAATTCTTTAATTTTGAATGTAATATTTTCAAAAATTTGGTTCAGAGATTTTTTAAATGATTTTTTGGAGTTCTGCAGAGACTTCTTAACAATATATCATCGCATAAATAAGTCATTTTATCGTCATCCTGCATATAATATAGTTAAAACAAAACTTTAAAAACTAGAACCAAGTAGATTCTTCTGATTTTACATAATTTGACATTTTTTAAAGTGATTCGAAGATTATTATTGTTAATTTGTGATTCAAGATAAATTTGATGGTTTTCAAAATTCAGAAAATTTACAAAAATTGAAGTAAAAATTTTGTGTAATCAAAAAAAAGCGACGATTTAATTTTTTTCTTCATAGATCTACTGGGGTTCTATTGCCATATCATTATTAAACTTGCAAATAATTTTTCAGATTTTTTCAAGGTCAGGTAAAATACTTTTTTAAAAACATACAATATTTTGTAAATATACAGTTTTTTCACAAAATGTAACAGAAATAATCTACTTTCATGCCCCAGAACCCAATGGTAACAAAAACTAAACTTGTGTTTTTTTTTTGTAAAAGTTGATCAGAATTTTTCATAAATCAATATTTTTCATAATTGAAAAATAGCAAAAGTAAATGGACCAGAAGAGCTCCATGCTTAAAAACTTACACTGGTAAAAGTGGATGTTTTTAAGCTTTTTTGTTTACTTAATTAACTTGTGATTCATAAAGTTGATTTTTTTCATATGTATAAATTTTTAGATGACTTTCTTAATCAAAAAGAAAAAATTTGCTAGTGAAAGTCAAGATTTTGCAAAATAAGAAAAGTAACAAAAGGCCCGGGAATATAAGCAAGCATGCAGCAGCTCTTTTTTTTACCAAATCGAGAACTCTTCACCCCCTTGTCCTGAATATAAATTATAATGATGACAGCTTGCCCAAAATTATATTCGGCCCGTTTTTCCCTATTGTAGCTTAATTAATTAAATTAGTCCCCTCTATTGTGAGGAGACAAAATCAATTAAATTTCATTTTCTTTTAACGCAGGTGCTTGTTATGGCAACCTGCTTATAGTCGAATTCTTTCGAAGTATAAAAGTCGAAGTTACGCATGTACTGAGACATTAAGAAAACATGTTTTACGGTTATATATAGGGTGTTGTTTACCCCACTGGTTTAAATTTCTGCTCTGTTTCAATTTCACTGATGACGTCATGGCCAACTAGAGCAGAAATTTAAAAAACCTTCACTAATTTTGTTGCATAAAAAGTGTACTTTGGTTATCAATGAATGGCCCAATTTCAAATTGTTGCGAAAAATTTGCGTTCGTCTTTGGCTTTTGAGCAACCTGAATGGTGTTGAGCGGAAATTAATTAAAACAAATCATTAAAAGTTGGCAATCAGCCTTAGAACAAAGAACCACTTTTATTTAGAACCGGTGCGCAAAGGACTCGCTATTTACTTAGTGGCAGTATTGAACCTGTTGAATAAGTTTTAAGTTTTCCGGAGACGCAGTGACATTTTAATTGGTGTTATTATAGACCTTAAAATCAATTCAAACCAAAAACTGGAAAAGGAATTAGAAAAGATAAATCCTGGTACCCAGGACATCGATTTTTAAATGTAATTCACGTAAATACGTAACCACGAACTCTGCGATGAAAAGTATGTGAAAAATTTAATCGATAACGGATATGTTTACTAGACCGTTCACCAATTCAGTTTCCTTCGGAACAAAGACGCTATCCTGATCGATGAAGCCTTGTCTTTTTTCCTGGATCTTTCTGCGGCGGGCCTTCGATGACGCCACACACTGCAACCCACTTTGTCCAGACCGTCCCGTTTCCAGGGTAACGGGACGGCGGCGGCACTCGATCGATCCGCCGCCTCTAAAACATCTGTTTGGTAACGTCGGCGCGCCGCATCAAAAGATTCTTGACCTTCTTTCACTTTCCGACTTTTGCGAGGTTTCATTTTATCCACCACACGTAAGAGCATCAAAGGAAGCGCCATTAAATCTACGAACCATGAAGAGATTGTTTTATTTGATTTAGTAATTCAATTACCCACGTTCTCCTCATCCTCAACAATACGTGTCAGCGGTGACCTATTTTTGGAATTGTGGGTTTGGCGCGAATGTGGAACGGCAGACAGACACTTGTTAAAATTGTAGGTAGTTGGTTTGGATGTACTCGTACTTTCCATTCTAAATCAATACACTCGGACTGATTTATAACTTTGGTTCATTATTTTATATAGGTAGGTATAAATAGATACGGAAAGAATCGAACATGAGTTATACATATTATAAATAGTTTTATAGGGTGTAGTAAAAGCTTCCTCTTCCATTCATGACGTTGTTTGTTATTTGCTATACAGACGAATTAAATATTTTTCAAACGTATGGGGCTTGGGCTTTTTCAAATTTCAATGTAGCGAATATGCGCCATCTTAAAAAAAATGTGGTCGAATTACGCCTAAAGTTTTCTCGTTTTGAATATGAAGCAAACGTATCCTTTTAAACCATATTTTAAATATTGATAAATGATAACACAAAAAAAGTAATAATTATTAACGCGTAAGAGTTCTGTAATCAGAAAAAGGGTCATATGTTTGAGAGACAGACTATCTAATAAACATTAATGTTTTTCAGTCTGTTTCCTTTTAGTTAAGAAAAAACTACGCCTGCTTTAAAAATAGTACACGATGTACGATGAACGTTTTTCAGCTTAGCAAGTTCAGTGGCTCTCAACGGTTCATAGTAAACATTGTTTGATTTAGATATAATTCTATGTTAACCGTGTTCGTTTGGTTCATTAGCATTAAACTTTTTTCCTATTACGTAACTAGAGAGAGTTAAACAAAAAGTTGCAAGGTCGCGTTCAAGATGAGATTAGCTTTAAAATAAGGTGCCATTTAATTCTTTATGCTAAACATATTTGTCTAAAATGGCGCAGGCTGCCATTTTAAAACTGAAAAAGGCTTAATATCTTTAAGCACGGTATATTTGAATATGTAGTAGCGTGAAATTCAGATAATATTGGAAGTTTCTACTAATCAGATAAAAAAATATATATCACAGATATATTTATCACAGTTTTAAAGCGAAACGCACAATCAAGTGCATTGTTGTAATAACTGTCCAGATTATTTATTCGGTACAAAATTATGTTTATCAATAAAATTACCTTGCTATTTAATTGATTAGCACTGTAATTTTCCGAATTATAGCTGTTTTCTTCCACAGATGTTATTGTTATCATCCCGAATTGTATGAATTATTCATTTACCTTTTGTAGTTAGTTTGATTAACAAGATTCTGAGCGGCTTAAACTGCTTTAACCAAATTTATGTAACCTTTTTTTACCTGAGCGTGTATTCTGGTTTTGTTTCTCGTACTATGATTTGCGTCCATTTGTGCAAAGTCCATTAAACCCAGTCCTCGACCATAACCTAAAAGACTCCGACGTAATTGAGGCTTGATGTAAGGAATGTTAACCTAATGTACGCATTTTCTGCCTCAGTTAATGCTGCAAATTGTCATGTTACTGCTTAGTAACATGGCTTTGATTGTAGTCTATATTCCCTGTAATTTCATTACGTGGAAAGATATAGTAATGTAAATTAATAATCGAGAACCCCGATTAAGAAACACTGTTTAGTTATCTTTTTTGATAATGCGAGTATGACTAACAATTGATTGGTTGGCGATAATTATTTTCCTATCACAGCTGTTTATGTAATGAGTAGTTGTGAAGCTTCGGTGGACAATCGCACGCTTGATTATAAAAATTGACTTCCCTCGTGCTTGAAGTATAAGACCAACAAATTTCGCTCCTTGGAAAAATGATGAAACTTGATTTTGCGACGTTTGTTTTGTGTTTTGCTTTATAATGTAAAAACCAGCAGCAGAAATAACACCCCCGCAGCCTGTGCGCCGTGGGAACGGAACTGGAAAAATATCCTCCCAGCAATAATAACATGCTTACCTTCCAGTATTTATTTTTATACATCGAAAGAATGTCACGTAGAAATTTGTTCGATTTCAATGAGTTTATTTATCTATTATTATTATTATAAATCTTATATTGTAATTAATCAATAGTGATCACTTTTTAGTCCAAGCGAACACGAGCATTGGTTATACTAAAGACAGAGCTGGAGAAAAACCTAATCCACCAAAGAAAGCACCAAAAGTAAAATTAAGAACATACAAATTGAATAATCCTGAAGTAGCACGAGACTATAGAAATATAATAGAAGAAATGATAGAAGAAACCGATACTGAAAGGTTGAATTGTCAACAAACATGGACAGTATTGAAGGAGGCGATGTGTAAGGGTGTGGTACGATTATGCGGAACAACAAAGGAAAACCCAAAAAGGAAACAAACTCATTGGTGGAACGAAGAAATTAAGAACGAAGTGAAAATCAAGAAGAGGATGTGGAGAGAGTACCTGCAATGGAAAACAAATGGAAATTATAATAAATATAAAGAACAAAGGAACAAAGTAAAAGAAGTAATAAAGAAGACAAAAGAAAAGTCTTGGGTAGACTTTGGAAATAAAATGGAACAGGATTATCATACTAACCAAAAGCTCTTCTACAGAATTCTGAAGAGTTTAAGAACAAACAAGAAAGAAGAAACAATTAAACAGATAAGAAACGCAGAGGGTATTTTGCTGAAAAAGGAAGAAGAGATTATGGAAACTTGGAAAAAGTATTTCGAGAAACTACTGAGCAGCGACGAAACTGACAGGTCCGTCGACGTGGTGGGAGACGATAAAGAATGGGGACAAGAAGCAAAAATAGAGATTAACACGTTGACTGCCGTAATAGTCACACAAATTTCGATCCTGCTGGCCGAAAGTTTTCTATGTTAAAATACGCCAGCAATATATCCCTTGACTTGAAATAAAATTATATTTCCATAAAAAAAACAATTTTTCTTTTGTTTTGAGGTGAGAAGCATTATATGATTTACGCGGCCCATATAGTTCATATTTGCACTAATGGCCATGTGAATCATAAGCCGATGCACATGAAAACTTGTTTATTCTTGCAGAAATGCAACGCTCTGCAGTAATCTTGTTCATTCTTGTGCGTCCAACGGTAGTGTTGGTTTATTCGGTTTGTGTCCCCTGCATAGTTTTTACTATATCTCAATTGTTGGTGTTGTACAAAATGAATTACGAAAAAGAACAAGAGGAACTGAATCGCCTTTGGCAGGAATGTCTCTCAGACGAAGACGATAATGAACCGTTTGAAGATTCAGGTGATGAATTTGTCCCAGAAAGCTCTGATGATTCTTCTAATGATGAACCAATTTCCAAAAAATTAAAGTTTGTAAAGGAGCCAATTCCTTCTACATCCAGGGATACACCCGACAGTGTGTTGGACACAATAAACGATGTGATTGAAAGATGTATGGAAGAAGGTAGTGACGAAGATAATGCAAATGAACACTGTGACAATACTAACGAACTAACGTGGGAGGATGTGAGCGGACGAAATTTGAAATTGTTTCCTTTCACAGAAATAAATGTTGGAGTCAAAGAAGAAATACATGCTGAATATTACGACAAAGGTCCCTACGAGTTTTTCAAGCTGTTTCTAACTGACGAACTGATAAGCATGATGGTGATAGAGACCAACAGGTATGCGACTCAGTGCAAAGCCTCTGCAACATTGCCCAAAGCCCGCATTCGTGAATGGCATGATACAAATTGTGAGGAAATGGAAAGTTTTATTGGAACTCTCGTTTGGATGGGTTTGTGTCCATTTTCTTCAATCGAGGCGTATTGGTCCAAATGTTTCGTTTACACCAACAAAATAAAAGACATCATGTCTCGAAATCGTTTCCAGCTGCTTCTCAAGTCGTGGCATTTCCACAACAACGAAATACTGACGGAAGATAGATTGCAGAAAATCACTCCTCTGACAAATCTGCTGATCAAAAATTTTCAAAACGTTGTTATTCCGAAAGAGCATGTATGTATAGACGAAACTTTAGTGCCATTTCGGGGGCGTTTGAGTTTTCGCCAATATATAAGCAACAAAAGACATAAATTTGGCATCAAGCTTTATAAACTGTGTCTTGAAAAAGGATACACATATAATTTGCAAGTATATTGTGGAAAGGATAAAGTACCCAATCAGTCTTCTTCAGAAAAAGTCGTTCTTTCTTTGTCTGACAATCTGTTAGATAAGGGGCGTACAATTTACACCGATAATTATTACACCAGCATTTCCTTAGCGCATCAGTTGTTGAAGAGAAACACACATTTAGTTGGAACGCTGAGAACCAATAGGAAATTTAATCCCAAACATATAACGGAAAAGAAATTACAAAAAGGTGACACAATTGCCGCCGAAAGTAACACAGGTATAGTGATTCAAAAATGGAAGGACAAGCGAGATGTTTGTACTTTGAGCACAAAACATACCGCTGAAATGAAAACAGTCAGCCACTTCGGTAAAGACAGTCAAAAACCAATAGTTGTAACTGTTTACAACAAGCACAAATCTTACATAGACTTGTCAGATCAAATGAAGTCTTACACCACTTCGCTACGAAGGGGTGTAAAATGGTATCGCAAACTTGCTGTTGAACTGATTGTGGGTGCTGCGGTGGTAAATGCTCACATTCTACATCAAGAGGTAGCTAATGAAAAAATGTCGATCACGAAATTCAAAGAAGAACTTGCTCTGAAACTAACTAAAATAGACATTCGTCATGACACAACGCACCATCAACAAGCCGAGCATGTGTTAGAAGATGTAGGAACCAAGAGTCGCCGTAGGTGTGTTGTGTGTTATGAAAAACTTTCAAAAACTGACAGAAAACTTGCCCAGTCAAAAACTCCTCAATCGAGATATCGCTGTATAACATGTAGTAAAAATTACTGTTTGAATTGTTTCTTTGAAGTTCATAAATGTACAAAATAACTGTTTATATTTTGTTGATTTATATGTTTACATATTTTGAGATACACATATTTTCCTATCGTTCACAAAAAATGTTATGTTTCAATACAAATAATATTTTATTTTACATTATGTTTTTGTTTATATTTTATTGAATGCTGTGTTTGAATAAATATATATTATATTCCATCGATAGCTTCATTGTCTTTTCGAAAATTGTCAACAAGAAATTTGAGGCTCTGAGAATCAAATTATGATTCACACAGGCGCAGGCCAATTATGGTTTCTATTAGTTACAGCCGTACATTTTAGGCTCCATAAGTATTACATTGATGTGAGAAGCGTTAGTTGTTTTAGCCGGCCACTACAACGTGTAGTGTCTGAGAATCATTTCTTGATACTCGCGGCTGTTATGGCCAAATCTCTATGCATCACATTACGCTTCTCACGGCAGCCAACGTGTTAATGAGACGGAGATGGCAATAAAGATGTTGAAAAAAGGTAAAGCTGCAGGATATGACCAGATTACGGGGGAAATGCTGAAAAATCTGGGCAGAAATGGGTTGATATTACTCACAGATGTATTCAACAAAGCAATGAATGAAAACACAATCCCGAAAGATTGGGAAGTTGGAGTGATAATACCAATCTTCAAGAAAGGAGACAAGACTCAGTGCACAAACTATCGAGGTATTACATTACTCAGCGTGGCGTGTAAATTATATGAGCGAATTTTGGAACAGCGGATAAGAAGGATAATTGAACCACAACTTGATCAATCGCAGAGTGGATTCCGGAAAGGAAGAAGCATCCAGGACCATATCTTTACAATTAAACAACTTACGGAAAGGGCGAAAATAACAAGTAAAAATATATATGCATTTATCGATATAGAAAAGGCTTTTGACAGGGTGCCAAGGTCCGCAATCAACGAAAGTATGGTAAAGAGAAATATAAGTACAAAATTGAAACAAGCAATTATGAGCCTATATAGAACAACTAGAAACTATGTGAGGACCGATAACATGGAATCAAGAGAGTTTGTAGTGAAAGAAGGACTAAGACAAGGAGGGGTTCTAAGCCCCTTGTTATTTAACTTAGTTATGGACGACATCATAAAAGAAATGGGTAATAAGACGAGCAAGCTGTACGTAGGGCATAGATGTTTAAAACCTGTATGGATCAAGCAATGTGCTTTCGCAGATGATCTGGCGATCTTCGCGGAAACGGAGCAGGATCTACAGAAGAACGTTGAGATTTGGAACAGAGCATTAATGGACAGAAAATTGAAAATAAATGTAGAAAAGGCTAGGGTCATGGTAATGGGAAAAGCTAGTCATGACATTAGCGTACAAATAGATGGAAAAGCTATAAAACAAGAGGAAACTTTTAAGTATTTAGGAGTACTGCTGAGCAGCAATGGCAATCAGGAGGTGGAAATCAAGGCGAGAATCGAAAGTGCAGCAAGATTGTACCACAGTATTAAAAATACATTCATAGGAAAGAGGGAAATATCAAGGAAAGTGAAGATGAGCGTGTACCGAGCTGTTTTTACACCAATACTTATATTTGGAAGTGAAAGTTGGATCGTAACAAAGAAAATAATAAGCCAAATACAAAGTATGGAAATGAAATTTCTGCGACGAGTAATGGGTATAACAAAAATGGATAGAGTCAGAAATGTAGAAGTGAGGAAAGAATTAGATATAGAACCGATCGTGAATAAAATAGAAAGGAACCAACTACGGTGGTATGGACACCTAATCAGAACGGACAAAGAGACTCCAGTAAAAAGTGTATGGGAATCTAGAGTTCAGCACAAAAGACCAAGAGGAAGACCGACCGTAACGTGGAATGAAAATATTGGGAAAACTCTGCAGCAGAAAGGAGTAGGGTGGGCGGAAGCCAGGATGCTCGCAAAAGATAAGAAAAAGTGGAGAAACGTGGTGTACGAAGGACATGTCCATGAATAATATGATGTAATATACCTAACACCTTCGGGTATTGTAGGTTTTTGATTATATATAATATATTGTAATTATTAAATAAAGAGAAAATTTTTTCTTTGCGCAAAATTTGGACGTTTAAGGAAAAAACTCAAAGTGGATTTGTACACAAGTATCTGAGTATATTGTCGTATAACATTTAAATAATTTTAAAATAGAATGCTTTGAAATGATACCATTAAAATGGTTAGTCGCGATGATTAGCTAAATTTTGGTTAGGATTTGACTATCTATATGATATTCATATTATACATACAAAATTTGATAACAGTAGTTTCGGACATTATCAGTTATAATATAACAAGTGATATGATTATTATCGATAATATTTCGAGTGAAACCGAGCTGCAGATTCAACGAGTGCGAAGCACGAGTTGAATGTGCTGCTTCGGTTTCACGAGCCATATCTTCGATTATTAATCATATCACGAGTTATATTCAACATGAGAATATAATAAATGAACACATTTTTTGATAATAGAGTTGATTTTGTCGTTTTGAGCTTGCCCCCAACGTTGGCAAGCCATAAAAGACAAAAAAAATTACAAAATTTTAAAATTTGTCAATTTGACAGTTTTTAAATTTAGGTAGCAACAGACCACAATAAGGCAATAAAATTATTATCGCTGTGATAGACATGTAACTAAGGGCATGAACAAATTCTATTGGACAAAATGGGGTCATGTGATTCATGAATTATATTCTCTGTCTAATAAAAGTCGACACCGACGGAAACGGGAGACCATACGAAAAATACTTTTTTGGTTTTTATTGCATATAGAATTTTTTTAGTTTTGCCAAATTTTCGAAAAAGCTAAGCAAATTTTAGTGATGAAGTAGTAATTGTGTTATCAAAAGTCACTGTAGTCGCTCAGGTTCTAAAAGTTTTGTTATAATAAAGTGAAAATGATCAGTTTAAGACCTTGGCACATTCATCTACAAATGGTGAAATATAAAAAATGTTCAAGAACGATATTTAAATTGAAGCCGTCTTTCTCTCTGTAATCTGTTTATAATTGTAGTCGCCCACTACTATTGTTATTACTTTAGCAAACTGGTTGTAACCAAGTTCCACTATAATAGCTCTAGTTTAATCAAGATAGTTTCGTATTTTTTCACAAAAACATTTTCGCTTATTATATGTATTTTCTGATTTTAGTATATTTCTTAGAATGTATTAAGAGAACTGAATAATATACCCAGATTTCCAAGAACTCGTTTTTATACGTTCTTTATTTTATATATAGTTTACATGAAGCAAGAACCACGTATAATTGCATATTCAAGGATACCTTTACACCTATAAACAAGTGTAAAAAAAATTAAAAAACGGTCGAAAGTTATTTTTACAGGACTTCCCTCGTCTCTGAAGTACAGTCAAACAAACCCAACCAAATAAGGAATACTTGTAACCGTATAAGAATGTAAAAGACATCCTATAAATGTGTTTTGATACCTTATGATTTTTTTTTCGTTTGTTTACGATATTCCACATATTTTTTAATGATAAGCTGTTTATTTTTTAGATAATCTTGTAGAGCTTGTTTTTTTGAATTCATTAATGTACTTTAATCACCGATACTCCGCCACTATCTACCATTGCAACGTTTATGTTACGAAAACACACTTGTTTGTATTTTGTGTGAAACTCTGAAGTGTTCTTATCGTCAACCCATGATAGGAACCGGATTAACAATTGCTCCAAAAATATGAATGCATTGATAAAGGACAAGACTATGCTTGTATGTATTGGTGAGTTTTCCCACTTAAAAATATTCAGATCAACGAACCCGAACATTACGCTATAACCTAACGAATAATCTTTTACGAACTCCGCATATACTGGTATAAAAGCTTGCCATATAATTTCGATTTTTTTTACAAAAATGTTTATGCTTTGGAGAAAATCTGAAGACGGATTCATAAATACAAGTACAGAAGTACCTTATTTTATAAAATGTAAACCCTAATAACAACGAACAATTTTGAGGAATTTTGTTGGTGGGGATGATTTTGACAACAATCGGTCCGTAGTTTCGGAGATTAACAGACAGACGGAAACGGGAGACTCATTTTTTTGTAGTCATGACACATCGAGAAAATATGAAACATCTAGCCAGTCGCTCAATTGAGGTTACAATACTTCCTTAGCCACGCTCGGGTTGAATTAACTCTCAATTTCGTAATATTATAAAATACATATATACTGTAGTCGTATGTTCCACGAATTTTTTTTTCAGTTTACTAATGTTATTTCTTAATTTTTTAGCATGAATTTTGCACGATTTTTATTAATACTAATTGAAAACCTGCAAACTGAAGTTCCTTTCATCATTGAAGATATTTAAAATCATCCGCATGCCTCAAACGATTTTGCTAAATTGGAAAAAATATCATTTTTAAAAACATTGAAAAGCAACAGACCTATAACGAATCTCTACAAAATAAAGCAGCGTGGGATAAGTTCCAGTGACGATTTTATTTTCCAAATAACTCTAAAATCAAATGTAATCGTTATGGATAAAGAACAGAACGTAAATTTCATAAGTTGCACACATTCAGTCGTGTAGAACCTACGGAAATAATACCATGTTAATTAACGATAGAAATAAATCACGCTAGTGTAAGTAGATTAAATTTCCTGGACATTACTTTAAGCGTACCTTTTTCCCAGGATAAATGATCCTCTGCGGGTTAAGTGGTTGCGTGTCCATTTTTCTAGGTTATAGTATCCAAGCGGCATTAAAAACCACGCCTTTTTAAACGTCTCTCATCAATTTCACACATACGAATCCCAGAGCTGTCATTTATTATCATGTCATGGATGTTTTTACTGTGGCTATCATTAACAAACACCCTTCCTCTTCGGATCATAAATATTTTTATAGTTTAACGCACGAAACTGTTAACAATAAATGGCAATTAGTTTTTGAAGGCATGTGAAATTAACGGTTTATGCGCGATACTTTGTGCGCTTGCTGGTGTCACAGACACTGGTCAAGTTCAAGTAAATGGCGCGCTGTAGACTTACGAGGGCTGGGTAAAAAATGTGCTGTCTGTCTGACCCAGATCCAGTAAAAAATGACTTCACGCTTAATTCTGGTTTACACTGTAGTCTTGTAGTCTAAAAGAGGAATGCATATGGATCAGCTAAGCTTAAGCAGTTGTCTATTGTTGAATGACCTCATATCAGCTAAGAAGTACCGTCTTTGGCTTTTGTAACTATTTTTTTTGTTTACTGCTCCATGACAGTATTTTTTTTAGTACTGGCTTCATCCTTGACGAGATAATCAGTCATGATTACCCAGAAAAAGTGAAGTAACAATTTCAAGTATAGTGACTATACTTAGAAAAGTGTGACGAAGAAAGTCTCTGGAAATGAAGAAATCTTATCGGTTTTCAACATTTTTTTTTAATCATGATACCAGAAATCAAAAATTAAGTATTAGGCTGAACTGTGATATCTAATGATATCGAAAGTACTTTTTCTGGAACAGGTGGTTTTAAAATTTTATAGTTTTTAGTGAATTTGTCGAAATTTACAGCTATTTATTTGTTGACAATCTAGATTAGTTTCTATAAATTAATTTCGATAAACATTTTTAGCGTTACGACCCGGTGGAGCATTGATAAAAGTCACGCCATGTTTTCTATAACATACACTTTCACTTTAGTTCTAGACATACTTATATTTAATTCATCTCAATCCTATTGTTATGCGAGGAGCTTATCTTTGTTATGTAAGAAACGTTGCAAATAATTTACTTTTTGATTTTGTTTTGAAATTTATTTATGTTTTAGAACTAATAAGCTTTTGTTTTTTATCTTCAATAAATATTTTTGCATATTTAGTATCTATAACAAAAATTTGATCACCATCCCTACCAAAACTGTGGTGATGCGATCTTAAAAAATAAATCCTCTTTAAATTTAATCAAAATATGTAAAAATATATAGGTTGTTTCATTTTTACTTTTATAAATAATTCTAGATTGTATTCCTCAAAGAACCGTACAACTTTTTTTTCTGTCACTAATAACACTAGTTTACAAGGTTTTATATCCAAAGACAAAAATAGTTGAATCCAAAGGATTTGGGTTCGGGAAATTCAAATCTGAAAGCAGAGAAAATCCATCACGTCAGGTTTTTGAGATATTTATATAAACATACCCCATATTTCTTTTCTTTTATACAACTCTTGTAATTTTTTTATTTTTAAACATATATGAACATATAGTTCTTTGAGTAAATTTGTATCATTTTAAAAGATCATTTACGTAAATAAATAACATGAGTCAATTTTTCAAGTATTGATTTTAGAATAATTGGTTGCTTTTGATTGTTCTACGGGAAGTGATAATAAAAATGTGAGGATGGCCTCACAAAGACCTTTTAAAATGATACAAATTTGCTCAAAGAAATACAGGTTTATCTTTAAGAATAAGGCAGTTACAGGGGTTGTATCAAATAAAAGCAACACCCAGTATATATTATAAACATTATGACTGAAAATTAAAAATGATTAACACTAGCGTTTCTTTTATTAGCAGTACTGTCAGTTTCCCTTATAATAGACCAACAGTAACACATTTTCATCCCAAAAACCTTGGTACCTTCTTTTTAAGCATATTTGAACAGGTCTTCCCGCTTTAGGTACTATAATTTTACCACAAACGTAACAAAACTGATTTGCACTTACTTTGCACGATCTCGAAGACATTTTTTATGCGACAATGGTGCATTAAGATGAATCAGTTTAACACTAACGTGAAGGTAAAAGCAAAGTTCATTATTTTGGATTTATGAAAAAACCTGACGTGATAGGGATTATCCGTTTTTGGATTTGTTATCAGTAAGTAATTTAGAAGTAGAAAATATTTTTTTTATTTTTGGATATGAAAAAAAGTTTAAATTTGTAACTAATTGTAATTAATGAGAAATCGAGGACCGCGCGCTTAGTGACTCACCCCTGTATATATTATACAGATAATCTTCAGAACTACCGGATCGATTGTTCAATTTTATGGGTGTTATGTTATGTTTTATGACTTTCACACTTGTCAACGAATAATGGGGCTTGTTAGACGCAAATTTATGACACTACCCTAAACTTAGGTAGCGGATCTTTGAAGCGGACCCATTTATCTATCTGTTCAGAGGTATTACTTAAGATGCTTTCTATTCGTAAACTAGAGGTTTGAAAAAAATAAAAAACCGCTGTTGTTCTGGATGCTTTATAGATGGCAAACGGGCTAACCAAAATTGGTCTAAGCATTACCCCACCAACAATTTGATGACGACACTTCAAAATTTTGTGTTGTAAATGCTCTTTAAATGTTATAAAATTCCTCTACTGGTGACTTATAAATCCTCCTTGAGCTTTACTTTAGGCATCTAGATTTTCATAAAAAAGTTATATAACGTTGAGCAACGGTGCATTAGCTCAGGCCGTTAGAACGTAGCGCTAATAACGCAAAGGTTGCGATTTCGATCCAACCTAGACTACTTTTCTCACTCGAAATAGACGCATAGCATTCTTCTTCGTTATTCGCTAAAACTAATTTTATAATTTGTCTAAGAAGTTGGATTGCACTTTGGAGGCGGAAAAGTCCTGTCCAAATATAGAACATTTTTTAATCATCACCAGTCGTTCGTCTTTTCTTACTTGCGAGTAGATATGACCCATATCTACTCGCAAACTAGCTGCACAAGTGATGACAAGGAACAATAATACTTTATAATGTATGTATCAGAAGCGATATTTTCATGGAACTGTCATAGTCCTAAAAATTTGTCATTTTTACATCACGTAGTATATGTAGGTACTGTTTCTATTACTCTTCAACGTGAACCGTATGTTGTAATGATATGTGTGAGCCCGACTAACGAAATAAGTACTCGCTTGTTTTGTTGACATTGCATTTCAATGTTTATATTTAGAATTAATTATTCTGTATTCCATATGCGTCTACTTATTTATACACATGAGTCACGAGGATTTAGCATAGTTGTAAATTTGGTACACGGTGTGGGTGACTGCACTAATCAGACGCTTATGTCACCGGCTCCGTTTTCTCATGAGCATTTTTTCTTGTTCCAGATTAAAAATGACGGATAGCAGCGAGGCGGAGGTCCCGCCCCAGACCAACGGTCTCTCAGACAGCATGGACGACGAAGAACGTGCCCGAATCAGACCCGTCGAGATCGACGCCGACGTGAAGGAGATGGAACGTCGCAAGCGAGTAGAATCGATAATGAATAGCAAAATGTTCCGCGAGGAACTCGAGAGGATCATCGAAACACAGCTGAAAGAAGGTGCCGGGACCAGTGGACTGATGCAACAAATTTCGGATATGATGGGCGTGAACAAGCAGGGTGGTAACGTGTTCAAAAACTCGAACTGCGTCGTACCCATCAACGACATCCGCGGGATCGAAGCGATGAGCTACGGCAAGGGGGAAAAGATCCTCAGGTGCAAACTAGCCGCCGTATTTAGACTGATCGACCTGTACGGTTGGACCCAGGGGACCAATACTTTGGTGACGGCCAGGCTGAACCAAGACGAGGAGCACTTCCTTGTCAATCCTTACGGGATGATGTTCCACGAGATGACCGCTTCCAGCCTGATCAAGGTGGCGATGCAGGGTAACGTAATCGAGCAGGGCACCACGAACTTCTCCATGAACATATCGGCCTTTTCCCTGCACGCGGCCGTCCACGCCGCCAGGCCCGACATCAAGTGCATCATCAACGTGCACACGCCCTCGGTGGTGGCCATCTCCGCCCTGAAGCACGGCATCCTGCCGCTTAGCCAGGAGTCGGTGGTGATCGGCGATGTTAGTACACACCCCTACCTGGGGGGCCTCCTCGACCCGGAGGAGAAAGACAAGTTGGCCAGGAACTTGGGACCAAACAACAAAGTCCTGTTGCTGTCCAATCAGGGAGCTCTCTGCTGCGGAGAGACAATCGAAGAGGCGTTCTTCAACGCGCGCAATACCGTCCTAGCATGCGAGTCCCAGCTCAAACTCATTCCCGTCGGACTCGACAATTTGGTGTTGTTGAACGACGAAATCAGGAAAAAGCTGTACGATGCCGCGCACAAAGCACCGGAAAGCAGCCCACGGCCTGATCAGCCGTCGATTTTGGAAGGGAAGGTGGAGAGGAAGTGGCGAGTCGGTGGTGTGGAGTTCGAAGCGCTGATGCGAATGTTGGACAATGCAGGATTCAGGACTGGATACATTTACCGACATCCGTTGATCAAGGGTGAGGTTCCGAGGCCGAAAAACGACGTCGAAGTACCCCCGGCAGTTTCTTCCTTGGGATATTTGTTGGAGGAGGAGGAGTTGTATAGGCAAGGGTAAGGAGAAGCGCGTGTTCAAAAGTAATAATACAACATCTGTTGCTGGTTTTATATTTATGAAAATCACCCAATACATTGTAGTTGATGTGAAGTATACACTCATATGAGACTTGCCCCAGAAAGTTTTGCATGAATCTTATTCAAATTTTATAAAATAACAAACTTCTTCTATACTTGTGGTTTATGAATCCGCTTTTATTTTTTGCTATAGACATCTAGATTTTCGAAAAAAAGTTATAATTGAATTAGAAACTGCAGAATCGAATATAAATTCGATGTAAAATGTGCACAATAACGCCCGATTTGGGAGATCCAACGATTGCTGCTATCTCATGCTGGTAATCCGGTGAAATCGCAGTTTCAACAAAAATCGTGATTGTTTGAAACTGGGACGACAGATTAGTGGTAGAAAAACCGGAGAGTAGGTCTTGGTCTATGCAAGTCATGACTGATGTTATTTATGGCATCTCATCCGTAGCACGACTTTTTATGGTCTGTTTAACTGTTACTGAAATTGAATTAACTGTCGCGAATTCCTGACACTGTTTCAGGTAGACGCTTTGTTTTAAATGGTGAGTGGTTCTTGCCAATTTTAAAGAATTTATTGGTGCAAATTAAGTACTTGCACAAAAAGTAGTATACTTCTTTTATATGCTTCATCTTGTGTTAAAATTTAACAAAAATGAACAGTTTTGGGTCACACAATGCGCACGACTAAAAGTTAATTGCTAACGTGTTTATAACGAAATTATCACACCACGTTGCATGTGGATTGTGTATAAAGTAATGCATAAAAAAAGGTAAAAGCAGCTATATAAGAGAAATCTAAAGACTCACTTTTCACCAACTGTATTCGTCATATCCGTTGCATAACTTGCATTTGTTTGCCATGAAACCTCCATTTTAGTATGCTACAAATCACCGTTTAAAAATTTACTTAATTCACAGTGGTTAGAGAAACTTGAAGTTGTTTCAAAATTTTTGTTTTTTTTTACTTCGTTTTTGAATTCGTTGTCATTATTTTAAACAATGGTAGTTTTATTGTAGAATGTTTGTATGAACTTGTATGTAGTGGCCAATTAGTAGCAGACAGTTAAACATTTGTGGTGACGTAAGTAAAAAAAAATAAATTGAAATTGTGGTCAGTGTATTTTTTATTTTTAAGTAAATCCGTTTGTTGCGTCAACGTTATGAGTTTTTATATAGTTGCCAGTAATTTTGACATTTCAATCCATTAATTTACTACAAATTAATTCATAGCGTCAATTTCTTAGCTGGTAATATGACGAAAGTAAATCTAAAGCAGCGTCGTTTTTTTTTCTCATAAAAAATCTAAACAACGTTTGCTACGATATGTATGTTTTATTCAAAACCAGTGCATGTCTTGAAATTACTTTCAGCAGTTCGTTCGTAACACAAATTTATTTATTATCATGCAACCGTTTTTAAAAGTTTAGCCGTGTAGGCGACAAAACCCTCCATAAATTGATTAATCATTATTCTCTTTTTAAAGTTTCAAGTATTCATGAATAAATCTTTTAAATTTGTGTTAACTGCTAATTTAAACATGACAATTTTTCTTATTTCTTCTCCTTTCGGTGACCAGTCTTAAAGATTTATTGAAAAAATAAACATTGAAAAACCGACAAATATAAATCCGACAAATCAAAAAATTGAGCAATAGAAACATAAAAAATCGAAAAATTAAAATGTCCAAAATTGAAATGTTGAAAAATTGATAATTCGCAAAATATAAAATTTAAAAAATCGAAAAATTTAAAAATCAACAATTAAAAAGTTGGAACAATTGAAAAATAGAAACATCGAAGAACTGAAAAATCGAAAAATCGAGAAATGGAAACACCAAAAAATCGAAAAATTGAAAAAACCAGGACAATTGAAAAATCGGAAAATTGAATAATCAACAATCAAAAAGTGTGAGCAATTGAAAAGTAGAAACATCGAAGAACTGAAAAATTGAAAAATCGAGAAATCGAGAACCCTAAAATTAAAAAAATTGAAAAATTAAAATATCGAAAAATTGAAAAATCAGGAAATCGAAACCAAAAAAATAGAAAAATTTCAAAATCACAAGTATTGAAGAATTGGAAAATTGAATAATCAACAGTTAAAAAGTTTGAACAATTGAAAAGTAGAAACATCGAAGAACTGAAAAATCGAGAAATCAAGAAGCCTAAAATTGAAAAATTAAAATATCGAAAAATTGAAAAATCAAGAAATGGATACAGCAAAAAAATAGAAAAATTAAAAAATCTCAAATTTAAACATCGAAAAACCGAGAAATCCAAAATCCAAAATTTAAAAAACCAAAAGAATTGAAAAATTGGAAAATTGAATAATCGGCAAATCGAAACATCAGATCAATCGAAAAAAGAAAAATTTGAAACTAAAAAAATCCAAAAAATGAAAAACTGAAAAGTTAAAAATCCAAAAATTCAAAAACCCGAAAAACCTAAAACCGGAATGGCGAAAAATCGAAACGAGATTTCGAAATATGTATGTAAATCGAAAAATCTAAAATTTTAAAATTGAAAAATTAAAACATCGAAAGAGTAAAAAAATTTAGAAATTGAAAAAGTCGAAATATTGAAAAATCCCAAAATCTGAAATTAAAAATCGAAAAACCGAGAAATCCGAAATGCAAAATTTAAAAATCACAAGATTTGAAAAATCGGAAAATTGAATAATCAACAATTAAAAAGTTCGAACAATTGAGAATCATCGAAGAACTGAAAAATCGAAAAATCGAGAAATCGAAGCCTAAAATTTAAAAAATTGAAAAATTAAAATATCGAAAAATTGAAAAATCAAGAAATCTAAACACCAAAAAATCGAAAAATTCAAAAATTCAAAAATCTGAAATTTAAAAAGCGAAAAACCGAGAAATCCAATATCCAAAATTTAAAAAATCAGAAGAATTGAAAAATCGGAAAATTGAATAATCAACAATTAAAAAGTTTGAACAATTGAAAAATAGAAACTGAAAAATCGAGAAATCAAGAAGCCTAAAATAAAAAAAAAATGAATAATTAAAATATCGATAAATTGAAAAATCAAGAAATGGAAACAGCAAAAAATAGAAAAATTCAAAAATTCAAAAATCTCAAATTTAAACATCGAGAAACCGAGAAATCCAAAATTTAAAAAAGCAAAAGAATTGAAAAATCGGATATTGATAAATCGAAAAAAGAAAAATTTGAAACTAAAAAAATCCAAAAAACGAAAAACTGTAAAGTTAAAAAATCGAAAAATTGGGAAGCCGAAAAATCTAAAACCGTAATGTCGAAAAATCGAAACGAGATTTCGAAATATGTATCACAAATCGAAAAATCTAAAATTTTAAAATTGAAAAATTAAAATATCGAAAAAGTAAAAAAATCTAGAAATTGAAAAAGTCGAAATATTGAACAATCCCAAAATCTGAAATTTAAAAATCGAAAAACCGAGAAATTCGAAATCCAAAATTTAAAAAACACAAGATTTGAAAAATCGGAAAATTGAATATGTAATTGACAAATTGAAATATCGGATAAATCGAAAAAAGAAATCGGGTATTGGTAAATCGAAAAAAGAAAAATTTGAAACTAAAAAAAATCCAAAAATTGAAAACTGAACTGAAAAGCCGAAAAGTGTAAAACCGGGATGTAAAAAAATCGAAACAAGGCGATGTTTCAAAATATGAAAAAGTCGAAATATTGAAAAATCCCAAAATTGAAACGTCGAAGTATTGAGAAATGGAAGGAAAATTGAAGAATGGAAAAATCGAAAAATCCCAAAACTGAAACATCGAAAAATTGAAAAATCAAAAACCTGAAAATCGAAAAGTTGAGTAATTGAAAAACTGTTTAAAAATCAAAACATTAAAAAGTCCAGAAATTGAGAAATGCTTAAATCAAAAATTAATTAATCGGCAAATTGAGAAATCGAAAAATTTTAAATTGGAAAAAATTGAAAACTGAAAAATGAAGAAATCGAGGAATTGTGAAGATTAGAAGAATCGAAAATTGAGAAATCGAAAGATGAAAAATCGTGAAATCGAAAAGCTGAAAAATCGACAGACAGATGGAAACGGAAGACCTATTTCCTCGTACCCCAGGGGTCACAAAACTAGAAAACAAGAAAGTACCAGTCGCCCGCTGGACTCGATTACAAAGCTTTCTTAGTTTACGCTGGGGAAGTAAAAATCTTTATATAGGCTCATAGGAATTTTGAATAACCAATTAACCAATTTTTGAGAAGACGTCGTCAGTTGTCAGGAAGGGATGATTAAAGAATCAATGTTATCTCTGCAGGCAGGAGTAACTTCTGCATCGCTTCCAGCGGTGGTATTTTTCTCCTTTCCGCTTTCGACTTGATTCGCGTCCTTGAATGATATAATACTGTGTTGAATTCATTCTTTTACCAGATTTCTTTTTTTTTTTTGGAGTGTCGTCTAATCAGATAAAAAAACAACTAAGAAACCAATTACTTTTTCTAAATGTTTCAGTGTCATCCCCTCTTTTACGTTATAATTTATTTTTTGACTTATAATTAATTATATGATAAAATTCCTCGCCGAAGCCCAGTGTTTCAAATATTAATATGCACAAATTAATACTTTAAAAGGCGACCTTCACACCAGTAGAGTACATTGCCCGGGTCAAACCCCCGGCGGGGTCGATACGCCGGTAAAAAACCAACCTCAGCCTGTCGTCATGTTGGGTGATATTCCAATAATAGGCTTTAATTTTGTCAACCCAATCAATTTGTGAAATCAATACACAACTTTCCGGTTGAACCTAGTGTTGGATTCTACCGATAACAGATTTCTCACCAAGCTTGTTGTGATTTGTTTAAAATGAATTTGGCAATGTTTTGCAAAAAATTATTTCAAATAAAATAAATAGATTAACCTTCTCCTATGAGTAAGGTTTAAAATAGTGAATTTTTAAACAACTAGTAAAATGTTGAGCTAAAATGACCTAATAATCTTTTTGAGGGTTTGAATAGATATATGTATTTTGAATGAGCCAGAATAAATTTTACTGCTCCACTAAAATTTAACGTCTTGGAAACTAATATATGTGTAAAAAATTGCGAATTGAGGGACATGCAAAATGTGCAAAGTGACGAAGTTTATAAGAAGTTTGTATTTTATTTAATTTAGATCACTATCATACCTTACAATCATTACTTTTGTTTCAAAAATATTTTAGAATATAATTTAAGTGTCGAAAGAACGGTACAAATTAACATAAAATGTGGTAAATGTATTTTCATATGTACATTTTTACCATAAATAATTTAACAAAAGTAGATCCAGCTGTTCAACGATATTTGTTACAGACCTTCAAAACAATTAAGAGATGTAAAATTGATGCAGTTCGTATTCATTTCTTTAAAATGTGAGAGGAGTGGTTGTTGTTTAAACCAGTTTTCGATAAAAGCTTAACATGCGTTATATTGTAACCCATCTTTTAATTTTGTATATATATACAACAGTCCGACAACGTCCAACAAAATTGTTAAATGAATAAGGTAACCAAATGACGCAAACTTGTTTTATGCAGTAGATAATAAAAAATCCCAGGTTCTTTGAAATTTTAACCTGCACTGTTTTACGACGCTTTTGTTGTCAGCAAATTATACCAACGTTGTAATTTACAAAACTAATTGACCTAAACTTCGTAAATTTCTGCAACACAATGTTTAATTTAGAAGTTCTTTATTGAGCAAACTTACTAATTCGTGACGTTAAGTCAACGTGCCAGCGTTCAAGTATTTAATTACTTTGTCCTCAACCAAACAAAGAGCACAGATTCACCTCTATTGTCGTTGACAATCTTTCAATTGAAAGTACCCACAAATCTAATTAAAACTTCACGTGACTCCTTGTTATGTAATGCTTGTCTTTGCAGATTATGGAAGAAGTTGGAAGGCGGAAGAAAAGGTCACGATCGCAGCCGTTGGTTGAATTCACCCAACGTCTACCAAAAAGTCGAAATTTTAGAAACAGGCACGCCCGACCCCAAAAAAATAACAAAGGTAGAATATATTAAGTTTGAAGATAAGTAACTTTATATCGAGAGTTCAGTCCCTCCATTCCCTTTGATATGATAGAGTAAGTAGCTTCATTCCATGTAGGATGCTTCTACGTGCTAAAGCATTAAGGATTTTACGAATATTTTATCGATTATATAGTGCAATTTAAGTTTTATGATATTATGTAGACTGCGAATCTTATATGTGCCATTTCATGTTTTGCTACGCAAATATATATTTTTTGAATTGATTTTATTAGGTTGAACCTAATTTTTGCGACTACAGCGGTGTCTAGTCGTTAAATGTCGAAAGAGATCTGATGCCATATTAAAAGTGTGTATTACACTTTGTAATCTTGTAATTTTATTCTCGCTAGTTTAACATGATTTTATGCTTAGCTTATAACGCTAATCTCTAATAAACAAGATGGAAATAACGTTTTTTGTCTTTATTAATCCCATCCTAATTTGTTTTCATTTTGCTCAAAACTAATTCCCGTACTAATAGATAATCTTAAAAACCAAAATGTGTTTGTGTGGCAAAACCAGTACATTAGAATGTCTGATCTGGCACACACTTCTAACAGGTTTTTGTCATTTTTGCTCGCTATTCTTCTCATTGCATCGCTAATGTGCTGGTTTTGTCTTTCAGTGGGTCGCGGAAGGATCACCAACCCATTCCAGTACACCTGTAAAAATCGATGCAGCGTTGCAGTTTGTGCCCAAGGGTACCAACCCGAAAGAATTCAAACAGAAACAACAGCAGGTAACAAAACGACAACATCCATCACGACCGGTTTATCATGCTTGTGGAAATTTATAGATAAAAGACTACCGAAGGGCTGACAAAATTTCCGCGGGTCCCCAATCGCACATCCTGGAAGGCGTGACATGGGAAGAAGCGCGGAAAATGCAAGACGCTACAGTTACTCAAACTGGTGACCAAGTCGTGCTGATGGGTGCCGCTTCCAAGGGAATTATCCAGCGTGGCCACCAACACAACGCAATGGTATATAAGTCGCCGTATGCCAAAAATCCTTTCGATTCAGTTACGGACGAAGAATTGGACGAATACAAAAAGGTCGTTGAGAAAAAAGCCAAAGGGGAATGTAAGTGTCCTACTTTTAAATTTACAGTACGAGCTGAATAAAACAATTATTCACGATTATTATTATTCAGTGCTAAGCTGAGGGAAGGTAGATAGTGGTTATGCAAAGTTTGAATACCATAGTGTTTTAAATTATACACCATTATAATATCTTCCATAAACAACACTTAGGCGCCATTAAAGTCTTGAAAATATTTGAATAATGTAGACTCTGCAATGATTAGACATTCAGTGAGCAGTTTTGTTTTGCATATTCATTAAGTATTATCTGTCATTGACATCTGTATACATACCACCAGACTGCAGTTGCGTTAGTTTTATTTTCCGAGTGTGATACACCTTGCAAAATGAATATTCAAATCGACATTTGACTCATAAAAAACTGTTACAAGTAACTACTATAAAATAACAATCGATTTGTGAGCTGTATTGTTAATAATAACTCTTGCGATGTTTCCATTTTTTTTCTGACTGTTAGTTGTCGTTTTTTCCAGACCATTTATCGGGTCAGTTCCATTAATTGATTAGTTACGCCACCAGAGTTAAAATTATTTCCAACCGAGTGAACAGACACAATATTTAAAGCTTTGTAGAACTTTTTGTAGACATTTCACATTAACTCCAAGTATGGTTAACAATTATAGGCGGCCTATGACAGTAAAGTACAGTAAATCATTGTAACTTTTATTACTTTGCTAATTACTGTGAATATGCGATAAGTACATACGTGGTTACTTTTAAAGGACGCAGGTTCAGTGTCCCCATATACACCTGACAAGTAGATTTTACAAGCAAAAAACGTTTATTTAAAATAATACACTGTTGTCAGTTTTTTAAATTTGGTTTTATTTACGAGAATACGGTAAAGTTTATAAGGCTAGCTAACAAAAAATTTCAGTGTGTGTGTGGGTGTGTGTACGTTCGTCGTCGATAACAAAATTTGTTTATTTTATCGGAATTTTAATTTATTTTCATTTTATTTAATTTGTAGCTAGGTGCAGGCATCGTGTATAATCTGCAAATTCATAAAACTAACTACAGCTGTTATCTTATCAGTGATGCCGGTGTCAAATTAATTCCTGATAATTATAGATAATTTTCGTACCATTTAATATATGGGTCGAACAAACATAGCTAATCGGTGGTGATAAATAATTTTAATTTATTACTGTAGCGGACTGTCTTTTAAAGCAAATATAAGATTGCTTCAGGTCAATAAAAATAGAAGTACGTCAGGAAAGGTGGAATAGTGTTAAATTTTCGAGTCAAAAAAACGTTAAGTATTATATTCATAAGGTGTGTCTTATTTAAAGTTACTAATTGAGACGCATCTTTGCCGTTCATCTTTAGATTTCTATGTAGTAATAGTGCTGGCATCTAGCGGCAGATTTTAAAAACCACTAGACACGATGTTAGCATGCCTGGATAGTTAGAACGATTCAGTTTTTCAAGGGACAAAATCAGAACAAACTAGAAAAAATTTATAAAAATATATATTTCAGTAAACTTAAAAAATAAAATAAAGTTCGTGAATCTAAATTGAAATCTAGTAAAATTGCTAATTTCAAATAACAATATTCTACAAGGTCCAATTCAGAATGATCGATGGTCTTCGACCTACCTTGTGTTTTTGGGTATTGATTATAACTTCTTGAAATGAATAATTAATAAAATTTGTTTTTATACGTCTGCAAATCTAACGAGGCCGGTGTAACTTGTATTTTTTGTTAATCTGGAGCATTTATGAGAAAATTTAAAGCTGGATTTAGGAATGTGCATGGATGTTAATAAAATATAAAAAAGATATAGGGTATAGAGATCTAATCTTAATTCGTACCTACTCTTTAACCAGTTCTTAATAGTGAATATGATTTCGTAGTCTCAGTTTTTTCAGTCCAGCTGTTTTTCTCGTGTTATCAAAACCTCTTACAATGAAACATGCCACATGTTAAATATTGACCAAATGTAGAATGTTTCTGCATGTAACTTAAAATATTTGTTTCTTTTTATTTCTCAAGGAATTACAAAGGAAATTACCGCAATTGAGTCATTTTGTATAATTACATATTTCCTTGCTGTTTTCTAATTAGCAGAATATGGAAGTGGACAGATAGAAATGGCATGGACTTTATAATTATGCTATTCACGATCTTTCTAGTTAGATAAGGATCGGCCATGGAAATTTGGCATTTTTGTTTTTTAGTTTAAAAACGGCTTTAAAAATGACGTCATGAATTCAATCATTTATTAATGTGACAAATATCAGAATCAATAAACAAAGCAAATAATTAGAAGTTTTAGAGTTAGTGATTTGAAAACATGTTTTTATGTTTTTCATTATACTTAATAATTTCGCCATAAATCTGGAGTCTTAAATATTTTCATTATGAATTTGATTGCGTGATGTATAACTGCCAAATATGTTCTTCTTTTTGCCATTTTTTTTTATTTCGTCTTTGCTGCAAGACTAAAAATGGGTTAAAATTTCGAAACAAAGAAGAGTAAACTTGGGGGCGGAGCTTAATTTTTCATTACAATCACTTGGATGATCAGTATTATTAAATGTTAAGTATTTAACTTTAACAGGTCACTATTTTCCAGTCCCATTATTTCACTGTAAGAATCTAATTCATTATCTAGGTCATCGTCATCATCTAATTTTGATTCTGATTCAGATTCTTTTTATGAAATAAAAATTGATTGAATGTTATTCCCACAAAACTTCCCTTGCTCCTCGCTTTTCCCAAAATTAAGTATAAGATTTGATTTTGTCGATTTTGTATATTTTTGTTTTTTGTAATTAAAGAGCGGATCTATATACGCAAATATTTGACAAAATATGCACAATTTACCTCCGGCGACTCGGAAAGAAACGACAATTAACTACAAAAAAAAAAAACACGAGAAATGGCTGTAATTACATTTATTATCTGTAACATCTTTATATTAAGCATAAATATGCTATAAACTTCTATTTTTTTTTTTTTACTATTAGAATTAACAGTCAGATGTTTCTCCATTATAAAATTCTGTTCTTCTGTTTGTACGAAAAGGTGGAATTAAATTACAACGTTCTTTTTCGAAAATTTTTCATTGAAATATACATCATGGTTAAATATTCCAACAGGTTTCCAGACAATATCCTTCCTTGTCTGGTCTGTCCTTTTGGTTGCTAGTTTTTGCTCTACAGCAATAATTCGTAAATTTAACGCACTAGGTAACTGAGCACAATTATTACAACAGACTTTCTAAATTGCGGTGATATTTATAAAAAATTCAAATTTGTTTATTCGTCTCTTCCAAGAAATGGATATTTCTCCTCCAAGAGGTTGACGTCATCTCAAAAAATTATTAACTAAATCTTCACTTAAACTTTGCGCCGAATTGGTGCGGTATTGATCGTGCTTGAGAGAGAAGGGCAATCATATATTAATAAAGCTTCCGAAATTATATATTAATAACTTTGTGGATTTTTCTCTTGTTTAACTTTCCGTTCCCCACAATGTCCAAGTATAATTGGAATTAAAAATTACTTATTTTAAGTCTGGTATGATAAAATTTAATATTGTATTATTTTTAGAAATCTTGTGATTTTTAACATAATATTATTTGCTGCTAATTCTCGTTTTTTTTTTAAATTATGTTCATTCGTAATTTAAGGAAATTCCAGGCTTGAGTAACCGGTGTTCAAAAATGTCTGCCATTTTTTGTGCAGACTAAAAGCTAAATGATATGTTAAGTTTCATGCTGTGCAATTCTTCCTATTAAAATAATAACAGGTTTTTTTATGGTAGTTTTAGTTGCTTGCATTTCGTCAGAAAACATGATTAAGCACATAATAAAGTTGTAAGTCCCATTCAATGAAATTTTAAATAATTTATTTATTATTATCTAGTGAAACTGCAGTGGATGCTGCGGCGGTTTCTGCATTGCTATCATGCCGCCATCACGTCAGACACATTGATAGCTATTGGTGCCAACTGCACAAGATAAGAGCATTTTAAACTGAAATTAAAGTTGTAAATTTGTCTAATTTTGTATTCATTTTATACTTCATAACTTGGAGTCGTTTATAGAGAGACATAATAATAATAATAATAATAATAAAAAAATACATATAGTGTACCTTGAGCTGTTTTGTTGCTACTATTTTGGCAACAACATCTAAAATGTAAAATAATTTATGTTGGCGCCACTTCTTATGAATTAAAAATAGGGAGTTATCGTTCGAATTATCGATTTATTTAGTTACTGTAGGACAACTCAACGCGACAAAATTGATATTGCATCAGTGGCCTTTATCTGAGGCCGATGATTATTTATAATCTTACGCATAACGAGTTGTTGCAAAATAATTCAAATTTGTAATAAAGTTGATGGATTATTTTTGTTATATAGTTTTATATTGTTCTACGAGTAAATACCATCGTATCGACATTGTTACAGTGTACGATACATTGCTTAACGGTAGAAGTTGTTGATAGTGTTATATTTTACTCTTGAAATTAGGATCTTTATTACGTAAAAATAGCTTCGACTACACATCTTAAAATATTAAAAATGTAAGGTTCAGAAGCGTTCTGCACCAACGGGGACAAATCTCCCATTGTTTATTATTGAGTGTATTTTTTAAATTATTTTTAATTACTTTTTCATTAGGCTAATTTAAGCTCAAATTCGGTTAGTTTATATGTCTTTTCTGCTGGAAACGCTGTTTGTATCTTGATGTTATTACTTTATTAATAAACATTGCATGTCGGAAGACTCGAGGTTTTGGTTTTCTAAAATTAGCAAAATCTGATAAGTCCGTTCGATATCCAAGCACTGATATTATTCTCGTCGTTAAAATAATAGTTCTTGTAAATGTGATTCAAGAAATTATGTATTGTAATGTAACCTTCGTGTAATGGCTTTTTTTCAGATGACACGGACTTTAGCGAGTCGGAAGGTTTATCCTCGGCCCAAATCAACAAGAGGATGAGCGACCACATCAGGTCACCGACTTCCGTAACCAGTGAAACCGAAGAGGAAAGTAGAGATGGTTCGTACCACTTGATCATTTTTAACTCGGTTCTAAGTACCGTTTTTCAGAACCCCAAGTACTTCGGATAGAGACCAAACAAGCTCCCAAACCTAGCCAACCCGAAGTTGTGTTGAGTGATGGTGAGTGCTGAGCTTACTTCTTGAACTATTGTAGCTGTCAGTTGTAGTGTAGTCGTGACCAAAGTATACTGTGTGCTTCATTTATTTCTTTTTACAAGTATATAAAAAGCGAAAGTGATGGGCGGGGGGTAAGTGTTCATCACTTGACAGATTCATTCTCATTCTAGAGAACAGATCTTGTTAGAGATAGACACTGACTTGTTTTTTTAAGTTCTACACAAATAGCTGTCATCGTCCATCAGTGTCTTTTTTAGAAAATACGAAATTTATGTAGTTTTAGTCGTTTGTAGATTAGAATGAACACTAAACCCTTGTGGACTCATTTGACCGTTTTGCATGAAAATCATTTAGATTCTGGAGTTTTTTTAAAGTATCTAGCAGTTTTATTATAATTTGAGCTATTAAAGTGATTTGTTTAGTTTCTCAGTTATGTTAAATAGTGGCGCTTTATTCCCATCACGTGTACAGAGTGATTACCTAGATTTGGCACTGGTTTAAATCCATTCACGGAAGCGGCACATTCAAATCTACTCAATCACTTTGTATGCCACCCACTCAGGACCCTCTTACTCTACCAATCCCTGAGGGATTTTCACACTTTGTTTGCATGTGTAATATTCCATTGTATTTTGCATGTGTTAGCCGAAACATCACCGACTGAGCGGTTCCTACGAGCCGAACGGGTATCCGTAAACAGCTACAAGAGTAAGTCTTTTAGAGCTTCGGGGTTTTCATCGCTTCTTCAACAACGCTTTGCTTTACCTCTTCGCTTTCTTAACATCATTATTACAGAATTCCAATTGAGTTATTTTTTGGGTTAAATCCTGTACATCACTCACCAACTTTGAATCTCTTCCAGGTGTAAGAGTGGCGAAAATTCAGAGAAACAAACGCTTAATTACAAGCCTGCCTCATTATCGCACGAACAGCTACGCTGGTCTACCGAAAGGCTCCTACGCTATTCCTAACCCAATGCATTTCCATATTGTGCAACATAAATATATAGCACAACCCCTACGTCCCGTTCTTGTAAAAATCGGTCCCCAAAATCGTGCCACTCATTACGTTTTCAACCGATTTAACGTGAATAAAAATACTCAAACTGTTACTATTAATATTGGAAATTACCGTTCAGTCTCCCTCGGGATGTCGTTGCAGACTGTCACCGATTTTATAAAACCGTTCGCTAACGCGCTGAATATACTCAACGGACCTGGCTTAAGTCATTCGGAAGCGCAAACGACGTACATGGTGCAGCAAGAGGGGGTTCCGTCTGCTGAGTATACGCCTCTAATTGAGAGCTACGACCAAAGAGAAAGTTTGCTGAGGGTGAATGATGAGTCAAACTTTGAAAAGCAAATTTTGCAAAAATTACAAGATAATTTGATCGCTGATTTGATGAAAAGCGACTCGGAGTCTGAGCAGGAGGTGGAACAAGCTGAAGCCCGAACAGAAGTGGTACAGTTCACTGAAGAGGACACTTTCATAGTTAATGAAAGGTTAGCAGATGAAGATTATGTAATTGACAATAATAACTCCAGTACTGAGAGTAATAGAAATGATCAGATAAACGACTCACTTGTCTCTACAAGTGTAGACGAAGGAATAGGTGACTTGACGAAATTGTCACCCATTAGTCAAGATTCACTCGAAGATGACGATAGAGTCAAGGAAAATCCTGAGTTGGCAAAATCACAGTGTCAAGAAGTCGTAAAACCTGACGACAAGGTGGTGAAATTAGGAAAAATTATTTTCGACTATATGTCTGAACAAGGTTTCGATATTTCTGAGCTTGTAATTTTCCCTGAGCTTTCGCACGACGCGAACACCAGCAAACTAATGACCAAACTGAGTGAAACGTATGACGAATTATACGGAAACAAACTAACAAGCGAGGAACGAAGTGCCTTACGACTTGTAGTGTGCTCATACGTTTTAAATTTAATCGAAAACGACGAAAGAATGATGTCTTCGACCGATTCTCTCGAGTTTCCGATGGTTTCGGATAAACTTTTTAGTGTTTCTGAGACACTTTCGGCTATTATGGATCGATTCTTTGACGTGGTGGATGACAACCGTAGCGAAGTCTTCGAAGATTTTGTACAACCAATGACTACAACTGTACTTCATTCGACTCCTGATACAACCAACGTAGTGGACACACATGAAACATACGAAATCGTTGAAGAAATAACCTCTTTCAAAAAAGATCAAATAGTTAAGCCAGGTCATGAAACGTACTGGTTCTCCATTGGCACCCCCAAAGAACAAAAAGTGACAAAACGAACACCCCCCAAGCAGATTATCAATTACGATGACATTCCTTTACCACCACCGAAAGATCTCTACTATTACGGAACCACGAGTCAACCTTTGTCTCCAATCATTGAAGAAGCCAATCGCAACTTATTTTTTGATTTTGTTGAAGACGAAAAAGCCGCCGCTTTGGAAATCGAGGACGTTTTAGCAGGAGGAGACACGGAAAAAGTTGACAATGTTCTGTCTAAACACCACGATGGTACTTACATTGCCTTTGATAAACCGGAAACCAACGTCGTGGTGTCTACCGGAGTTACATTCAATCGCACCATCACAACGGTCACTTCCGCCTACGTCAAAGCCGAAAGTGTCATTTTTAAGAAAAATAACTCTGTTAACGATGACGAAAGTTTTTACAGTGTAACTAGTCAGTGTTCCGGTAACAAGAGTGACGACGAAGGAGACTGGATGGGTTTTGAAAAAGCTAAATTTTAATCTTTTTAAATTTTCTCCTTTGTATGCTTGTATTGTTTTATTAGCAAATAAATATTTTCATGGTGTGGGGTGATTTATGTGACGGTTTATGGAAATGTGGTCACGCTGTGCAATTTTCGCTCTCTTTATTTGACGAAAAATCTGAAACGTGGTGTGTTTTTGTTGGCGGGTTCAAATATTTATATCCTACATCTGCAAAAAGAGAACGGAAATTGTAATAAACAGCACGTGCACATTCTAACCCCATTAATCAGCACTCAAGATGTAAATACAAAATAATTCAGAGCCAGACTAACGAATAAAAATACTAACGTGGTGGAAGTCGAATAACTGAAGGTATTTATGTATGTTTTATGTTTTTTTTTTTGTGATTTATGTGCTTGGGAATACAACAGTGTAACGACAGTTATGGTAATATAAACATGTGGTAATTTTATAGGTGAGAACACAGTCAACGGAGACCAGTCAGATGCTCACATTAGTACCTTGTCTCAGAGTAGTAAAGAGGTAAGATTTTTTGAGTTACAAAAAAGTTATTGGTTATATCTTGGATCTTGGATTATATTGTAGTCACAAGCCTTGCAAATGTCGGTTTATCACAATATAACCCAAAGTCCAGGATGTAATAGTGCGGACAGAAACAAAACTACATGATTGAATTAATTTGGAGCCCAAGATGTAACAGTTTTGATGCGGTGGTGTTAAAAATGGCATTTTTCGCAAGTATTTAGGTGTTAAAAAAGCTCTTAAACACACGAGTTTGTTTAAATCCCAATGATGTTTTGATTTTATAATGCTCTATTCTAAAATCATTAGTAATAATAATAATAATAGTAGCAATGTATAAAACTCTCAAAAGCAGTAAGTTGGGAAATCAGCAGTTTGGAAAGCGTGGGTTTTTGGTGGAATATGTATATTATCAATATAGTACATAGTTTTTATTTGTAGGGAAACCTCGTCGTTTTGGTGAGAAGAATATTATTTAGTTTAATAAACCATCAATACTGCAGATCACCAAAAGAGATAAATGCTTAATTTATTTCTATTTGAAATATACCGGTTGTCCCAGTTTATCAGTTTTACTGTGTGTATCAGTTATTTGAACAGATAGAAGCCTGATTGTTAAGTGATTAATTTACATAAGAAACCTATAAAATGAATATGGTAGTAGCATTATATCACCTTTAGGTTTTTTTTTGGAAATGACACCAAATTTTTATTTTCAAATAGAATACTTGTGTAATTGGTTTGTTATAATGGGTATCTAAAAATTTTAATAGCTGCGTTTCGTTTTCCACCCTAATACCGATTTTTTTGTCAGGTTGGCAACATATTTTGAAAAAAACGAAATTTTAAAAAACCCTATAGTGCAGAATTATATCGAGCACATTTTTCATTTTTCAATAACAGCATTTCACTTTAGTGTTTTAAAATGTTAAAACAAAGAAGGTGGACATTTGGCGTTTCTTGCTTACTGTTTAAGTTAATTGCTGGCTGTCAATAAATAGTGTAAAATAATGGAAAACAAAAATTTTTCGCTGAGAAACACTGAATATAATCCTTAATGTCAAGGATATCGAAAAATAATAGAAAAGCGAAAAGGTTATAAGAACAAAATTTACAGAAAAAATCTTATATGTTTAGCAAAATATCTACGAGAAAATCAGGATCTGAAAAAACTTAACCGAATTTTAAATTAATAAATGTGTAAATCTGCGAGCTCACTTTGAAAAAATTAAAGCCATGAACTGTTATCTTGTTAATTTAAAATCAATTGAAAAAAATTGCAACACTTAAAAAGCACATTCTCTTCCGTTTGAAACAAAAAATGTTGATGCCATTTTATTGATTTATTTTAAATGAATTATTAATCGTCCGAAACTTCACACGAGAGTGAAATTTAAATTCCTCTCACCCTTTCTCGGTGATTTTGCACACATCACATTTCTATACCAAAAAAAACCTGCCGCGTATTATACTGTCTACCAGGTTTTCGCAAAATAGCCAATTATTATTCAACCATGCTGTACTTTTCACACGGACGCAGGGGTACCCATGAAGTGCCCAATTAGAAATTCATTTGGACAAATGATAAAAAAAACGCAAACTTTAACTAGAAAGCGTATGTTCTGCTTTAGCCACAGGATCTTGTGCTCTGTTTCAGTTAAAATTGAATTTCTATCTTTCTCGATTTTATAACAATAACTGGATGAGCACTAGATTTACAAGAAATGAAACAAGCAACATTTTAATTTGTTAAATTATGTATTGGTTCAAGTTATGAATCAAATCAAAATAAAATTCATCAAGGTTACATTTGATGCTCATCCCATATTGCGAGAATGTTTCAACAATAAAAACTCCAAATTCAAGTTGTCGACGGTGATATACATTATAAACACAAGCACAAATTAATTATTCATCCCCTGGACCAAGTTATTTATTTGACTGATGATAATTTTCAAGGTCCTTTCTCTCAAACATCAAGGCTTAGGCTGTAAGTGAAATGTATTAGCAAGAGTTATAAAGGGTGGATAATGTAATAGTTTGTAAAAACAACCAGTACTTTAGACATCGTTATTAAAGTAAGAAGTGAATTGCCGGCACGTGTTTTACAGGAACATTTTCCATCGTTGTAAAATTGTATTACAATCATGAACAGTTAACGATCTTAACATGAACTGTGAATTTATAAACAATAAAGACAAAAATTACACATATTCATGGGAGAGTCAAAGTTTTTCACATTTTAGATTCAAACACCATTAATTAACTTGTCTTAAACAGCTATACTGGTTAGAGAGGGACTGTGGCGTTGAATGCGATTCCTTTTTATTTAAACAATTGCCTTTTTTATGAAATTACAAACAATATTCTACACACCAAAATTTAACCTTGTGATAACCCAAACATCCCGCGAAAAATTCAAAATTTGGCCTTGGCTGTGATCGTCGAACAAAATGGAACCTTACATTGTGTTTTTGAAAAATGGCGGGATGCTTTCAGATGCAAATGGTGGACCCCAAGGTTGGAAAAGTACCGTTAATTAAAACACCAAATTTATGCAGGATACAAAATTATTTATTCCTCCACTGACAATAACTGTGTCGGGTGAGAACACCCCTTAATGCTCAGCTCCAAAAAAAAAAACTTTGAATGACTTGGAATGAAATCAAATTAAACGTTCTGAATCAATGCAAATATTAGAATATCACAAATAATTTAATAAAAACAAAGAAAAATCTGAATTAAAGTAACTGGATGCAAATGCACAAGTTATTACAGACGTGTGGCGGCAAATTTAAAATTATTGCAGTCAATAAGAGAACAAAATTTTAATAAAAACTATGCGGCGGTAGTAGCACCAGAGCGTTGAAGAGTGTAGCGATCGAACTATGTCAATTTCATTCTAGAGCACAGCAAAAATATTGAGTTTGGGGCTCCCGGTCGTGGCTATTCTCCCCCCACGACGCTTATTCTAGCTATCGCAAGCATTGCTGCAAGGCACTTCTCTATTACGGACATGCTGTACGAGCAGGCCGTTACGGTCGCAAACTCGTAGTTGGATCTCGACTATTGGGCCAAGTCGACGGCGTTACGTAATGTCGACCGCCCCTAACTTCTATACAAAACCTGCATTTCTGGTGCAGATGGCGCGATAAATCTAGCCAGCTCGACAAGGAACCGTGCACTCCGCTTCTGTCACGTATTTCGATGTTATTTAACCTCAATTCCATTTTAAATATTCAATTTCTATGACTCTGATATTAAACTACAACTGCACAAGTTTCAAAGTTTCAAAAAGAGCAATAAACAACATTTAAATTCGCCATACAATCTTGAGGTGAAAATTGCAAAGCTAACAAATTTACATGAGATTAATATTTGCCACACTTTATCAACGATTCAAACAAAGAATTTACATGGATGTTACATTATGACATGATCCAAGTGAATGGTTACTTAAAACAATTTGTTTTGAGGGTACATATGCGCCTCGGTGATGTAATTATCCAGCGTTGCGAGAAATAAAATGTCTCGGTGAGGTAATTTGCAACGTTGCGAGATAAATGTCTCGGTGATGTGATGATGATTACGATGATAATAACGATGATAACTGCATAAGGAGAGAAATCTTTAATCCCCTCGTTAGTCCACGATATTATATTATGAATTCTGCTGCAATTTTCTACGGTCTTTTTCCACAGTAGGGCAACGTTAGGTTGTAAATGAACTATTAGCAATCTTGTGTGAAGAATTAAGAAGTGTTATAATGTAACACTTAAGTATTAGCTTCCATAATTAGACAAACAAAATCAAACGCGTCCTGATTAAGTGAATTTCATAAAAACTCCTAGCAAGTATTTATCTAAATAAATCTAATGTCTGTTAAATTGTGTCAGTACCACCAGTTAACAATTAAAATCCTAACATGAACTGTGAATTTACAAACACTAAAACAAATTTACACGTGGTAGCGTCGGTCGAAAATTCGCATTTTTCCGATTAGAACGCCGCAAGAATTAGCTACGCCTGTTAGGGAAACTGTGACGTCGTCGTCGTTACAAATAATTGTTGTTAAACAAAGGCTTCCTTCGTTTTATTAACTGCCAAGCCAACTGAACTTAACCTTCTCACGACGTGGTTACACTCACAACACACACACCAAAAGCGACGCTTTCACCTCTCTACCAAGCCGCCCTCTTCGACCAACCCTCTTACTAAAATTTCAAGCAGAACTACACACTACCCAAAAGCGCTAACGTGCACATGGTTGCCTACGTTTAACGATTTTTTTGATTGAATTTTTTTTTCAAATTCAAATTATTCAAATGTGATTTCGCGCCGCTGTTAATTATTTCAGCGGGAAAGTTTTAATTCAAATGCGTTTCACGGCTTTGCGTTTTCGCACAGCGCGAAATTTTAATTTCAAATTCAAGACACCACATTGTCTTATAGATTTCTTTGTGTTAATTAAGTGTTATAAATTTTACACTCTACTTTCAAATAACTGAGATGTCAATGTGGAACCGGTGAACGGTCACACCCAGTAGGTATAATATGGTCATAAATTTTTGTACTTTCAAGTGTCTAAAAAATTGTCAGTATCAAAATCTATGTGTAGGAATTTGATTTTTAAATCAACTGTTTCCACATTGTTTTCAAATGAGACCGATCGAATCTACTTATAATAGAGGTTGCCATCATTTGACCATTTTATTGGTTCAGCCATAAATTAGAGTTTACCTTCGAATAATCAGTTTAAATTGATTCCTTTGAAAATAACAATCCTACGCTATTGGGCGAGTGCAACCTGTCGAGTTTCTAAGTTTGTTTTTAAGTAACTTAAAACTTATACATATAAACACAAAATTGAAAACGCAAAACTCATGTTGTTTCATGCATCTAAGCGCTTATAATTAACATATTAA